AACGAATTGCGGCGGGCCATTTATGATATTCATCAACAGCCGTGAAGGCCCCAAAATTTGCAGCGCATGTACGACAAGGCCCCGAGGCCGATGTATGGGCCAAGTACTGGTGGTTTAAGTAGACGCACTCACAGGAGCCAGTCTTTGGGCTGATTTCGCTCTGGGATGGCCTGGAGGGGAGGGCATGTTTAAACCGCTAGTACACGGCTCCAGCCTTGCAGAAAGTTTTTGTTGCCACAAGCAGAACTCAGAGGCGCCACGCGGCCAGGCCCGCCGTTGAAAAAAAAAAATTGGCGTCCTCCGAAGTGGTGCGGGTGTCCTACTGACACCTGCGACCCGATATGTTGTATTGCTGGTGCTTTAATGCCAGCAGAGAACTTTCCTGACTCCTTCCCCCTATATAGCTTTGCGCTGGCTGAGCTCTGTTTGTTTGGATAAAAATAACTGGCTTGGACAATGAGCTAGTAAGAATTGTTTAAAGCACCAGACTGAGTACCCCAGCCATATAAAGCAGCATCATTTCCACTTGAATGAATTTGGGCGCTCGGGTTCAGGCCCGTTCATTGGAGCTCATATACCGCCGTGACTCTTGGAGGTACTACTGGTGGTTTAACCTGGCACTTGCTTTCTAGTGGTGAGAACCCCCTCCCCCCAACTCTTTCACTAGAACCGTTAATCCCCTTGTAATGCAAGGACGAGCACTATTGTCCCAGTCCTGTCCTGCTGTGAGATTTCATCGGACACTTTTTTTTTTTTTTTTTTTTCCCAAAAGCTTCCTCCAGTGCTAGTGGTGCTGGTGCAAGCAGACACCACTACCACCTCGGGAGAGGCTCCGTCTATTGGTGGGGAGCATCACCTGCTGGAAAAAGGGTCCAGCGTCCGTTACACAGAGTGATTCAGAAGAAGAATCAGAAAGATCAGAAGAAAAATCAGGAAGGTATCTGGGAAGTATTAGGAGAGCGCCTGCCAGCATTGATTACTCTGGGTTCCAGAGGTTGACTGAGCAGGTTGTTGAGGGGCACTACTAGTGTCAACCTTTTCCCTCCAACTGTACCCATTCACCCTGTCTCTTCTATAATAAAATGCACCCCCTGCAGTGATAGCAGTGCTGGTGGTGTGCCCAGAGGATTAGCTGTGCAGGGAATGTATAACAGGGAAGATGTCTGAGAGATGCCCGCAACAGTACAGATTGTTGGGAAAGGGGCTGAGAAAAGGGGGGAGAACCTTTTCACCCTGTGCTAGGCGCCAGATAAACTTGCTGCTGAAAACTGGTCCTCCCTCCCCCAACCCACCTAGAATCCCACTATCATCCCCTCCTTTCAACCTTGTGATAACTGCCTGACTCTTGGAGACACTCCTCCTGTTTCTGAGTACTTGAGCTTGATGATCTTGAGCGGGTCCTTCCTACCCCCAGGGGGCACCAGGGGCAGGTCTTCACCTGATGAACAGCACTGTGGTTATTCCAGGACCTCCATTAAGGAAAGGGGATGCGGAGGAAAAGGGTCCGGGAATTCAGACAGGGATCTCATAGGGAAGGATGGCTCGATGTAAGTCCAGTCATTAAAGGTGAGGCGATAGTCCCTAGGGGGTCCCTGTGCTGACGGATTAGTTTGATGCCCCCCCCAGTGCACTTGAGCAATCCACCCCCCGCGCTCTCCTCCCAGCCAGTCCTTGCAGAAGCTGGTGAGAGCTCGTTTGATATCTTGTGCAGTCTGAAAAATATCCAGTTGCAGTTCTAACTAGATCTATTCCTTGATTTCTTCAGTGAGTTCTGAACTTTCCGCTCTGAGCCCTTCTAGATTAAGCAAGGAGCGCCGTCACCAAAGGGCCCAGAGGACCGATCGTCTGCCTAGTCTATACCAGTTTTCCGTAAAGTTGGACAGGTTAGCGATCATTGGGCAGTGTCCGTTCAGGATCGCTTGCCACGACCATGGCCAGGACACATCTGGCATCATTTTCCGCCGTATTCGGTCCCACCAACGCCATGTCAGTAAAGCAACTGGGCACTGCATGAAGATATGTTCGATGGTCTCATTCCACTTTTGCGGAGGGAAGGCGTTTAGGCACCTCTGGCACCAAGGTAGCGCAATTGCTTTCTGTTCCAGGCTCGTGTGGTCAATCCGCCAGGCATTAGTGGGGAGGCAGCAATGAACGATCTGCCATTGCAATGAGGTGATCTTAGCTGGTCTGACCTTGCTTTCGTTAAACCATCTAATCGGTGTAACGGGGGACCGATCCACATTAAGGTGTCGGGCCCATCTGTCATTTATCTGGTCTCGGAGCGGTCGTTTGGGCCGGAGCATTCTGTATGTGGCCTTGACTGTCAGGCCACGGAGTTGTCCTGCCTGACGCGGGACCCACCCTCCCTGTGGACCTCCATTTCCATTCCTGCGGGTCAAGAGGTAGTTCCTGAATAGGTGTTCGAGGCTGGAAGACGAAAGGGCCTTCTTCCTCCTCAAGCACGCGTACTCTAAAGACTTCCGTTTTGTCTCGCCACTCAAATGGGTTGCGGGATCCCCTCAGCTCATTCCTTGGGCATATGGTGTAATATTCTACCAGCACGTCTGATGCCCTTATCATATGGAGTCTACCTATTCTGTTTAAATCATTCGGGAAGCCAACCCAATCCCCTTCCATCAGCGTAGGCCCCCGTTTGAGAATCCAAGCTGCGCACACTTCTCAGGAGGTGTAGGCTGCGTAGCTCCCCACCAAGAGATTAGACCTCTCTTCACCATTCTGATGTGGGCTCCCTGTCTTGATTTATATGTAATGTTTTAAACCATCAGTACCTCCTGAAAGTGCTCCGCGTTAACGGCCAGCCAAAAGTGGAAATCGTGCCGTTTCCACTTGGCTGAATCGGGCCAACCAGCACTTTTAGGAGGTACTGGTGGTTTAAGACTTAGGAAGAAAAAAGCGCTGCCAACTAAAAGTCTAAAACAGGTTTATCTGTTCTTTTCTCCTTTCGTTTTTGGCTTGAAAAGGTGAGAAGCCCCTAACATCAGCGTATCTTCCCAGATTTGAACTCTCTATTTTCTTTGTTCATGTAAAAACCAAAAGGAACAACGACACAGCTTCTGACCGGAACCTTCCGAGCTTTGCCATCTTTTAGCATGTCAGTCTAGTCTAGGCTTTCTTGTCAGCTCAGAAACATGGAGACCGCAGGCTATGGCCTATATTGTCTGTTCGTCATTAAATTTGAATAAACAGTGGCTGTACATGGTAACAAATTCAATGTCGTGTGGCTAGCGTGGTCTGCAGGTACAAGCAGGCTAGTTGTTGGAAATGTCACATGTGTTTTGATGTCCTTTCCCTGTGTGCCAAACATTACTGTAGCGATGATCTGCTTCTTGGTCTCAGTTTCAATTCACAATATTGAATATTCCAAAGCTGTTCAAATAAAGGGGCACTGAACCCGGTTTCCAGCAGGTGATGCTCCCCACCAATAGATGGAGTGTGTGCTTAAAACAAAAAAGAAAACAAAAAAAACTTCAAGGTGTAGTGATGATCTTGTGGAAAGTTCCAATTCCAATGATACTCTTTACGGAGCCACTTCGCAACAACTGAAAAAAGAGAAAAAAGGGAAAAAAAAGAAAAACTCTTTATGGCCTTGAAAATTGAAATGTAATACTCGTGAGCACACGGCAAAGATTTTGTGCGCCGGTCGACTTGGACGGAAAGAGAGCCAGGATAGAGAACAGCAGAGGAAATGACATTCATGCCTTCACGTGTCTCACAGTGTGCACAGTATGGACATACACGACCGTTGGTGCAGCTGAATTTGGCTGTAATTTCGTTCACATCCATCCAGGGAAGTCCTATGTGAGTATGCCATGTAGTAGTAGCAGTAGTATGCCATGGCATTGGGAAGCGTAGGTTGGGTTAAGCACGTTCACATGGATTCGACAATTCAAATTGCCAACTGCACTTTCCCTTTCCAGATCAAGAATCTTCAGTGTCACCCACTCCTGTGTCTGTCTGTGTCTTTGTGTCTCTGTCTCTCTGTCGGCCTGTCTCTCGCACTCAGTCTGTCTCTATGTCACTTCCTGTGGTAGTGTCTGTGCATCTGTCCAAGCACAGCATTTGCTTTTACGTGATTTAGCAGCACAAAGATGGGCAGCAGAACCTCCTTCCTGAATGGGTTCATCTCTGGACGGAGCAACAAGGCCACACTGTTGGGAAAACTGCTGACAGCCTTGGAATTCCCATGTCGGGACTTTGATCGCTCCTAACACAACTCTTTTGGGGTCGCTGGTATTCCAAAATAGCTGATGCTTCTCCTATCAATAGTCTTGACCACTACCCCTGAGCATCATTCCAAGTTCGAGGGGAGGCCTCAGTCAAGTGAGGAGCCACTGCGGTGACTGCCTATCGCTTCCTCTTTTTCTTGAATTGACAGCCACCAACTTTTGAGATGCAAATAATACTTCTTTAAAATTGGAAGCCGGCTCATTGATAATGCCTCCAATCTATTAGTGGAGTGTAGCGGTTACGGCTGTGACCGGGTTAAGCCCCTCAGACTGAGATTGCTGGCAAGCAGAGCCACAATCTCAGTTACAACCCTCCCTCCATGCTCCTCCCCCCCGCACCCCTCTCCCCCTTCCTCACCCCCCCAGTGCCTCCCCCAGCCACCCATCCCCTTGCTTCAGCTGCCGAGGAAAGAATCTTCCCTCTGAGACTCTCTGCCTCACAGTTGGTCCATAATTATCTGCCACATGAAAATTTGCAACAGTGAAATTCAATCTGTGTCCTTACTCCTGCATCCTGTCTCCATTGATGTTATTCACTTTCGTAGCTTCGTATCCTGTTCTCATCCCCATCTTTCCCATGAGACACGTCGTCCCAAGAAGATACCTTGAATAGCAGGCTAGGGTCATGCTGGATGCTGTCTAGGCCTTTTTAGGCAATTTGAACAGCAGCTCAAACACCTGTGGGTCGGCGGGGGTGGTGGAGCAGGCGTCCCTGAACTCTGTGGAGGCATGGGGGCGGGTGTGGGCGGGTTGGCGGGCGGGTTGGCGGCGCGTGGCCTGGGTGCGCTGTCCTGAGCGTCCATCGGGCGTTGAATCCTGTGGATCTCTGTCATATGGCTCATTCCGATGTTCCTTTCGCTGTCCAGCAGGCTTCCTCAATCCTTCGTCTTTATAGGGAGGACGAAGGGGGGGTCATCCCACTGGTTGTGCTCTTCCAGCACACTGTCTTCCAGCAATATTTGCATGAAAGTGAGGACCTTGGGCTGTGTCCAGGCAATATTGGTTCTGAAGCGTGTGGTGCTGAGGTCCATGAGTTGGTGGTGGGTGAACCAAGCGAAGGGGGTATGCTTCTGCAAACGCATCTTTGGATCCATAAGCAGTATGACAGGGATGATGCCCTTCGGGAGTGAGAGAGAAGTGGGTATCACTGCGCCCAGCACTCCTTCCGTATTTGTCTCACGGATCCAATATTTGAGCCTTTTGAGGATAACTGCCTTGGAGGGGTTGCCCCTCCATCCATCTACCGTCAGGCCCTCCGGGAGAATGCTCTGTGGCGAGGCAGCGTCCTGCTGCGGTGGTCTGAGGCCCAACACCCAGTGCCCTCCTTTTTTTATTCTGGTAAGGGGGAGGATGACAACCCCTCGTGGCATCACCACCGGTTCGCTGTCATCCTCCTCCAGTCTTACCATTTGTCTGAGTCTTTTGGGGGGAGCCTGCGGGGCGTGGTCCAGCTTCCCCCTTGGGTTGGTGGTCGTCTCCCACCCCACTCTTGTGTTTCGCGTATGCTTCCATTTTATCAAGGAACTCATTTACAACGAGGACGATTGCAGCCCCCACGTCCATCCAGTCAATGGCAGACACATTGTCATATTTCTCCACCGTTGCCAGCACACGCGGACTGTACATGAGGACGGTTTTCGCTTCTCCCCAGTATTCAGTCCTCAGCCTGTCCGTCGGTCTCTCGTCCGATAGTGAGAATATTTTGACTAGGGTCCATTCCGTGAGAAACTCCAGCTTTTGTTTGACCTCTGCGTTGGCCACCATGGAGGGGGGTGGAGGACAATCGCCATTGTTGTTTGGTACGAGAGGTGTTGGCAGTTGGACTTCCATGTCGGTGGGCTGGTGTTGCTGTCGCTGCTCAGCTTCCGGGAGGTCCTCTGTGTCTAGGCGGTCCAGCGGGCTCGAGGTGTCCATATCTTGAGGCAGACGATCTGCAATTTGGGGAGCCAACACGTCTCCTACTGTCTGCAATTGGTGACTGTGGCTCATCGGTATTTCAATTTGCATTGCAGGTTGTTGTTGCCAGAAGCTCTGTAGTTGTTCCTGTTGTTGCTGGAGCACCTGTTGGTGTTGGCAGCACAACTGCTGTTGCCATTGCAGATGCATGTGCTGGAGGATCTGTTGCTGCTGGACCATCCTCTGTTGATGTTGCTGTTGGTGATACTGTTCCATCTGGGCTTGTAGCAGGAGGTGGTATTGTACCTCGTACCTTCTCTGCTGCATGGCCTGTTGCTGTTGAAGTTGGTGGTTTTGTTGCCCCGTTTGGCTCAACATGCCCTGCATTTCCAGGTGCTGGAGTTGCACCTGTTGAACCTGGTGTTGTTGTTGTGCATAGTGAAGTGAGTGGGCTTGCGGTTGGTGATGATGTTGCATTTCCAGGTGTTGTTGCAGGGCATTCTATTGTTCCATTCGGTCCTGCCTCTGCTGTGTTTGATGAATCTGTTCATCCGATATCTGTTGCGGAGCAGTGTCGGCCTGGGGGTGTTGTGGTTCCATGCTCATGCAGGCAGTGCGTTCCAGTGGTGGTTCCAACTGGTCAGTCTGCATGTGGTTAGAGGGGAGCAGCTGGTCCCTGTGCATGGTTTCGTGCTGCCCTTGCTCTTGTAAGAGATCAGGGGTATGGTGGTGTTGGGGCGGCCTCTCTTGCGAGTTCAGCAGACTGGGTTGGTGTTGTAGCAGCTGTCCTTGCTGTTCCTTCATCGCCCGTTCCGGTGCGTGGTTGGCGGCTACATTCAGATTGCCAGTGGTCGGTATCTTGGCAGGGAGGAATTTCGTCTCCCCTGTGATCTGAGAGACCACCTCTCTTGCTCGGGAAGTTGTGTCTGTGGCGGCCAATTCCATCCCCGCAATAGTCGCTTTCGTGGTGTGCCCAGTCCCATCGAATCCCTGACTGTCTTGTGGCAGTAGTCGATGGGATTGCTCCCCCTCGTGATTGTGGGCGTGAGTTTCATCGTCCTTCCCCCTTTGAAGGTAGCACTGCAGGGGTGCATCCTTGTTGTTGCTCTTGCGCTTGCATTCTTCGTCAGTGTCAGTGTGCTTGTCCTCTGTGTCCCCTGCTTCGTCAGTTGTTGGTAGTCGAGGGGGCTGTCTGCCAGAGTCGGTGTGTCGATGAAGAGGGAAGGCAGCCCCTTTTATCTTGTTGAGGAGCGAATTCGCTTTAGTCCACATATGCTGTGGGGACGAGAGTTTTGTAGTCCCCTTGTCAGTCCTCTCTTCGACAGAGTTGAGTGACCGATGGATTGCCTGTCTCCCTTGTGCGGGCTCCAGGGGGGCAGGTTTATTGGCAGTCTGAGGGGTCGGTAGCAGTGGGAGACCCAGGGTTGTTAGCTGGAGCGGGCTCTTCACCACTTGTTGCTGTCTGGAGTGAGTCAGAGCATGTGTTGCTGCATTGGTCACGTCCAGCGCCCATTGAGCCGTTTTTGCAGTTTGAGGCACGGGTGGAGGGCCACTCCGTGTGTGTACCCCTGCCTGTATGGTCACCAGTTCCATGTCCTGCCCATTTTGGCAAGGGGGCGGCCGCGGGATCAGACCTGGACTTGTCACCTGTAGGGGAGGTTTCTCCGTCTGTTGCTGTCGGGAGTTGGCTCTTCTATCTACATGGGTGGCCTGTGGCTCCCCTTGTGCCGGAGCAGCAGGCTGAGGCATGGGCGGGGACCCGCTCTGTGTCTGTCTCCCCGCGTTGTTGCTGATGTCTGGTTCCGTCTCGTGCCTCCCGTCCTTCTCGTTTTGGGGTGGGGGCCATTGAAGGAGTGGTCGGGGCGGCTGAGGAGGCTCTTCCCTCCTCCGGTGTTGAGGCGAATGTCCCTTGTCCTCCGTGCGGTCTGTTCCCCCATGAGCGGCAGTTTTGGGATCAACGGTCTTGCCTTGGTGTTGTAAGCCAGTTACCACGGTCCCAGCAGTCTTTGGTTGGTACTTTTGTCGGGGGTGGGGGGGGGTCCTGCTTTATCGGGGCTGGTTTGGGGCGATGGCCATTTCCTTTCAGTGGGGGCCGGTCCTCCCCTTGCCCACCCTTTCCCTTTTCCGGGGTGGGGTCCTGTTTGCCTTTGAGCTTGGTGTCATCTGTGATCTGCAGCTTGGCCCCCGAGGGGAAAGCCTGTGGTTTGCCAGTGCCCTGCCATATCCATTTCCCAGGGCGACCATCTGCAAACGCCCTGAAGATCCATCCCTCCAGCTCTCTCTCCTTAGGATACCACCATTTCTCATCTGAGGGATGGGGGATCACCAGACCTTTGATTTTGGCTCTGGCACTGTTTTTGGGGCATGAGTCATCAGTGCAGAGGTGACCTTTTTGTTTGCAGGCGTAACACCATGGGTCCTGGGTATGGCTGACCGGGCCTGAGAATTCCTTTCCCCCTTGAGAATACCGCCACTCTTTGTTCAGGGGGAAGGGGTAAGCCGGATCCCATTCCATTGCCACCAGAAGTGAGTCATCTCTTTTGCCCATGAATTGGGGCAGATCTGTGATGTACCCTTTGATCGGGGCTATGTTTTCCAGATCGGTCAGGATTGCTCCCTGGACACAGAGCGGAGCGAACCTGAATTCCACCCAGAAGTTGGTCCTCATCAAATATTCTCGTCTCTTGTCCCCCGATTGCGGGTCGGCCGGTGACCACGCTGTTAGTTGCACAGGGCTACCTCTAAATTGCAGTCCCCTGTTTCTGAGGACGAGATGCTTATCTGTAGAATAGAGAGCGACGACAGTGATGCAGTCGGGGCTATCCACCTCTACCAGGAATGGTCTCGCACAAGCTGGCGATCTGGCTTGATTTTGCCCAGCTTGTCGGCGATCCATTTCACCTTGTCATTAATCGGTATTGCCGACTGGGATGGCTGAAAGCGGAAATGCAGTGCCTTATGTGAGTAGATCGCATCACGAGTCGTTCTTGCCTGGGCATGGAAGACCGAATGGGGGTAAATGTACCCCTCCCTGACCTGGAATTTCCTCACCGGCTCCACATGCAGCTGTTGTATAAGGTGGCTCTTCAACGGGGCCATGGCGTCCAGGGTGGAGGAGCTGATCGCATCTGTGCGAGCAAGGGCCGAGAGTGCCCTGATCAGCTGGGGGGGGATTTGTTGGATTTGCCTGGTCGGGTGGCCTGCTCCGGCCGAGCAGCGCTCTGATCCTCCCCCATGTGTTTCCCATCGCCCTCCTCTTGCTGTTGCTGGGTGTGCGATCCCCTCTCTCTTCCTGAAGCTTCCGGGGTCCTATCCTGGTGCATCTGCCGTGGTTGGGAGGGGATTATTTGTTGGTTCATCAGTTTATCTCTCCAGGTGACACGCACCCCCGCCGGTTTCCCATCAGCCTCCTTCTGCTTTTGCGGGGTGTGCGGTCCCCCCTCCCTACCTAAAGCGTTCAGGGTCGCATTGCGGTGCATCTTTTGTGGCTGTTGTGGTGCGTTCAATCCTCTACCACTCCCTGTCCCACTCCCTGAAGCGTGCAAGGATGCTCTATCGTGTCACTTCTGCGATTGGGGGGCAGGTTGGGGGGCAGGTTGCTTTTGTTTTTGGTTTTGGCTTTGCGTCTCGGAGGGGTTCGGATCCACGTTTCCTGTGTCCATCTTCTCTCCCTCCCTCGCCCTACACCGGTCCTGCGGGTAAGGTGCAATGATCCCTAGTGTGACGCTTGTTTAGTCATGAAAGCATCCAGGGGTGTATTCGGGCATTTAGGGTGTAGTCAAAGTATCGCCAGGCGTTGACCTGTCTCGGTAACCTGTCACGGTAGGATGGGCAGATGGGTCCAAAGTAGCTGGGAAGAGAAAGGAGAGGGTATAGTCACAGTATCGCCAGGCGTTGACCTGTCTCGGTAGGATGGGCGGATGGGTGCGAAGTAGCTGGGAAGAGAAAGAAGAGGGGTGGCATCGGTAGGGAGGGCAGATGGGTGCGAAGTAGCAGGAGAGAGAAAGAAAACGGGTGGCAGGAAGGCGTGGTGGGCAAGGCGGAGGGTTTCACCAAATCTTCTTCGTCGTGTCCCGTCGCAGTCGAGTCAGGTGTTGTGTGTGTCCCCTTCTCGCTCCCACGTTGTGAAGTCGAAGGCGTTAGCATTTCGGTCGGTCATCATCGGTCGTCATCTTCCGTATTCGTGTCGACTCTTCCCTCTCGGTCACTCATCATCCTGCTCTCTCTTCATATCCCCTTCCCTGTCTCCTCGTTCCCTCCCACGCGGTCAGCTTCGGTCTTCGGCTTCCGTCTTCGTGTCAACCCTATCCTCCCGGTCAGCTTACTCTGTGTAATCCCTTCCCCCTCTCCTCAGTCCCTCCCACAATCGGATAGTCCCTCGTCCTTCCCCTCACCCTATTTGTCTTCCTTCCTGGCGTCTCCGACGTTCTCCCTCGTTCTTCCCACAGTCGGATAGTCCCTCCTCGTTCCCCTCACCCTCTATCATCTGTCTTCCTTCCTGGCGTCTCCGACGTTCACTCTCGTTCTTGCTGGGTCCTGTTTATTATTCACGTCTGTGTCGCTCTTGTCGTCCGTGTTAGTATGCTAATGTCTCTTGTGCTCAATATCGTCGGGCTCTGCAGTGTTGTCTTTCCCTCCTCTCCGTAGTTGCTCTCTTGGCAGCTTGTGTCTTTCTGTGTTTCTCCACTCCGTTCCCTTCTGCAGCTCCAAGATGTCTTCACGTAATTGCGCTGGCGTCAGTGCACGGTCTACCTCGGCGTGGGGTCACCACTCCAGTAGCGGCTCAACCGCAGGGTAGAGTATGCTCAAGCCACGTCGCGTTGGCGCAGGGTCATATGTCCCACGGCCATAGCCTCCGAGCTCACGCGGGTCCTGGCGGGCGAGCTTAGCCGTCCGCGGGTCGCAAGTCGCTAGCGCCTCACCGGAACTCCACACTTAATTTTTCCAAAAATCCCAGCCCAAGGTCCTCACTTTCATGCAAATATTGCTGGAAAACAATGTGTTGGAAGAGCACAACCAGTGGGATGACCCCCCCTTCGTCCTCCCTATCAAGACGAAGGATTGAGGAAGCCTGCTGGACAGCGAAAGGAACATCAGAATGAGCCATATGACAGAGATCCACAGGATTCAACGCCCGATGGATGCTCAGGACATCACACCCAGGCCACACGCCGCCAACCCGCCCGCCAACCCGCCCACACCCGCCCCCATGTATCCACAGAGTTCAGGGACGCCTACTCCACCACCCCCGCCGACCCACCACCACCGCCCGATTCCACGACCCTCATCCCCCCCCGTCTTTCCCCGAGCCCGAAAACCCCCCCAATGGGCGGCCAAGTTGGCCTGCGCAGATATTGACATTCGCTCGATAAATGTCAATGGCCTAATCCAAGCATCGACAGAAAAGAAGAATGCCATATGGGATATGATCAAATCGCCGGTTGCTGGTGGGTGGCCAGACGCAGTATGTGTCCAAGAAACACATCTCCAGAACACCCCTCAACATGATGCAAAAGCCAAGTTCATCTGACCATACACATGCTATTCGGCACCGGCAATAGACAGAGCGTCGACAAGTGTGGCAATATGGTTACCACCATCCTCGAAACTCAGACCGGTGTGAGTCCAGCACGACCGCCACAACGGACGGTGGGTGTTCCTCAGAGTGGCATACGAGGAGGATGAGTTCTAC